AAGGGACGAATAAGAGCGGACGAAATTGTGTCTTAACGTAAAAGTGTATATTACAACGGTGAAGAGTGACTGCAGTTACGTCATATTTTAACATTCATAGTTCAACGTCATCGGATTTTTTCCACATCTCTACAATCGAGATTTATATTACAATGAAGGATAAGGAGTATAACAAACCCGATACCAAAATTAAATTGTATCTCAGACAAGTATTAACAGCTTTGGGACTATTGTTAGGAGTGTCCATGTCCGGTATGTCGAGTGGCTACAGCGCGATTCTTCTTCCGCAGCTGAAGACAATTTCGACTAGTAACAGCGAATCTTTATTCGAATCTGCGGACGCGGATAATTTCGGAGTGCTCAGTATCGACCAAGAGTCATGGATTGTGGCAACTGCGGTTCTACCAATAATTCCGGGATGTTGCACCAGTGGATTCATAGCGGAAAAATTCGGCAGAAGGACATCAGTAATGCTACTATTTTCTGTCTTTTTTATCGGCTGGTTGCTTATTGGGTTTGCCAACAGCATTAATAGTAGGCAGACTCTGCTGTGGATTCTGCACCGGAGTCTTGATAACCATACGATCTACATCAGTGAAACGAGTGACCCTCTGCTACGTGGCATTCTGCTGGGGATGTTCGGCGTGGCCCTTTCGGTCGGTATATTGACGTGTCACGCGATGGGAATTTGGCTGCATTGGCGAACCACCGCGTATATCTGCGGCGTGTTGCCCGTAATCAGTTGGATCGTCTGTATCTACTCGCAAGAGAGTCCATTGTAGCTACTTGGTAAAGGGAAAATTGAGGAGGCGAAATGCTCCTGGATATACTTACGTGGAGTAGAATCGCTCGACGAGTTCTTTTTGCTGAGAACTACCAGATTCGCGGAAGTATCAGAAAGGAAAACAGGGAAACGATTGTTACTGCGTTCGCTTAGAAAGACGTGGTCCTCGCGATATTTCCTGAGACCTTTCGGCATCGTCTGTTTGTACTTTATTATCCTGCAGTTTTCGGGTGGCAATGTGATGATTTTCTACTGCGTCGAGATGTTATCGAATGTCTCAGACGCGGCATATGCGTATCTGATAACGTTCATCATTGACGTGATTCGTCTGATATTCGCCGTCCTCACGAATATTCTTGTGAAAACAAGTCGCAAGCGTACCTTGACGTTCATTTCCAGCTTTGGCGCAGCTATCACCATGCTGTCTTTGAGTGCGTGCTTGGCGTTTGATTTTGGAAGACCCTGGAGTCCCGTGATTCTACTCGTCATTTACATCGGCATGATATCACTAGGAATATCCCTGCCTTGGATACTTTGCGGTGAATTGTTCTCGAATAAGCATCGTGGGCTCGGTTCTGGAATAACATCTAGCTTCAACTTTACGTGTTTCTTCGTGGTGATCAAGACGGCGCCGTTTATGATGAAACATATAAAGCCTGAGGTCTTCGCCGTTTACGGCTTCTTATCGTTGATCGGGTGCAGTATTTTATATTTTGTCCTTCCGGAAACTAAGGACAAAACCTTGCAGGAAATTCAAACATATTTTGACAAGAAATCTCATCCATCAAAAATAGAAAGTGTGAATGTACCTCTTCAAAAATGTGTTTTTTCCGAGAAAAAAATTGAATTGTATAAAGAAATGTCGCTTGATAAATAACGATCACTTGATGAATAGGTTATAGAATATAACATGTGTATTCACAAGTACGTAAATATGCTATAATAATTCCTATTAATATATTCATATTAATATACGATTAATATAATGGTATTTACATACGATGTAGTTTGAATAGAGAGTAGATTTTATTTTAGTACGAAATTGTTTCTATGGCCATTGTCTGATAAGAAACTATATTGTATTAGCAATATTAGCATGAAAAAGTAGGCACGTCTGCGTCAAACATTACATTTTCTCTTTTGAAAACTGTTTACAATTTGTAAATTGAGACTTGGACGTTGAGATTATTGGACTATAGTTTGCAACGATAATGTACTTGACGGTAATTCTATGCGCGAAACCGTGTATCTATACGCGAACCGGCGTGTCGCAAGCTTTGCCTACTCGAAATTATCAAATTTTAATAATGGCTAAATCCCTCAATTTCCAAGTAGGTTCAATCGATAGCTTAGACTTGAGTTACATAATTAAAGTGTTTTCCTCTGTATGCAGTCCTACAAGCGGACGTATTGCGACTTAAAGTCTGAATTCTGGAAATTCTATTTCAAAAAACGTTGTCTCATTATTGTCATTATAATTATAATTTCTATCGGAAGAGGCGCTAGCGATACATAGAGACAGTTAGCAAACGAGAACGAAACTCAAAAGAGCGAGCAAGAGAGCGACAAGGTAAACGAAAAAGTGAAAGAGCGAGCGAGATATTGCTTTACGTAGATAGTACGTTCACAATTTTTAATTAATTCTTATATGCTTATCTCAGCTGCATTGGCGAACAGCTCAATGTTTCTACTAATGTTACTCTCATTTCATCGTTCGAATAGTCGTAGTGTGTGCATTTTAACAAATTTGATTTTTATAAAATTTGTTTAAAAATCAAAGAGATCGGACGAATAAGAGCGGACAAAATTGTGTTTTAAGGTAAAAGTGTATATTACAACAGTGAAGAGTGCAGTGACGTCATATTTTAACGTTCATAATTCAACGTCTTCGGATTTTTTTCACAACATCTCTACAATCGAGATTCTGTATCACAATGAAGGATAAGGAGTATAATAAACCCGATATCAAAATTAAATTGTATCTCAGACAAGTATTAACAGCTTTAGGACCATTGATAGGAATGTTCGTGTGTGGTATGTCGAACGGCTACAGCGCGATTCTTCTTCCACAGTTGAAGACAATTTCAAGCAACAACAGCAAATCTTTATTCGAATCTCCGAACGCGGATAATTTTGGAGTGCTCAGTATCGACCAAGAGTCATGGATTATGGCAACTGCAGTTCTACCAATAATTCCGGGATGTTGGATCGGTGGATTCATGGCGGAAAAAGTCGGCAGAAGGACATCGATAATGCTACTATTTCCTGCATTTTTTATCGGTTGGCTGATCATCGGTTTCGCAAATAACATCGAAGTTTTAATAGCGGGCAGACTCCTCTGTGGATTCTGCCAGGGAATTTTGACAGCCATATACACGATCTACGTGAGTGAAACGAGCAACCCTCTGCTACGTGGCATTCTGCTGGGGACGTTTGGCGTGGCCCTTTCGGCCGGTATATTGGCGTGTCACGTGATGGGAACTTGGCTGCATTGGCGAATCACCGCGTATATCTGCGGCGTGTTGCCCGTAATCAGTTGGATCGTCTGTATCTACTCGCAAGAGAGTCCATTATGGCTACTTGGTAAAGGGAAAATTGAGGAGGCGAAACGCTCCTGGATATACCTACATGGAGTAGAATCGCTCGAAGAGTTCTTTCTGCTAGAAACCACTAGGCTAGCGGAAGTATCAGGAAAGAAAACCGGGAAACGATTATTGCTATCGCTCAGAAAGACATGGTCTTCCCGATATTTCTTGAGACCTTTCGGCATCGTCTGTCTATACTTCTTTATTCTGCAGTTTTCGGGTGTCAAAGTGATGAGTTTCTACTGCGTCGAGATATTATCGAACGTCTCAGACGCGACGTACGCGTATCTGATAATGTTTATTATTGACGTGATTCGTCTGATATTCGCCATTCTCATGAACATTCTTCTGAAAATAAGCCGCAGGCGTACCTTGACATTCATCTCTTATTTTGGTGCAGCTATCACCATGCTATCTTTGAGTGCGTGCTTGGCATTTGATTTTGGAATCCCGTGATTCTACTCATCATTTACATCGGCCTGATATCACTGGGAAACTCTCTACCTTGGATACATTGCGGTGAACTGTTCTCGAGAAAGTACCGTGGACTCGGTTCCGGAATAACATCTAGCTTCAACTTTACGTGTTTCTTTGTGGTGATCAAGACGGCACCGTTTATGGTGAAATATATAAAGCCTGAAGGTACCTTCGCCGTTTACGGCTTCTTAACGTTAATCGGGTGCAGTATTTTATATTTTGTTCTTCCGGAAACTAAGAACAAAACCTTGCTAGAAATTCAGACATATTTCGACAAGAAATCTCACACACCGAAAGAAGAAAATGTGAATGTGCCACTTCAAGAATGTGTTTCTTTCGAGAAAAAAATTGAATTGGATAAGGAAATATTTCTTGATAAATAACGATCACTTGATGAATAGGTTATAGAACATGTGTATTCACAATTATATGAATATGCTATAATAATTCCTATTAATATATTCATATTAATATACGATAATGGTATTTATATACGATGTAGTTTGAATAGAGAGTAGATTTTATTTTAGGACGAAATTGTTTTTATAGCCACTTTCTGATACTGAAAGAAACTGTATTGTATTAGCATGATAAAGTAGACACGTTTGCGTCATGCATTACGTTTTCTCTTTTGAAAAATGTTTATAATTTGTAAATTGAAACTTGGACGTTGAGATTACTGGACTATAGCTTGCAACGATGATGAATTTGACGATAATTCTATGCGCGAGACTGTGTATTTATACGCGAACCGACGTGTCCCAAGCTTTGCCTACTCGAAATTATAAAATCTCAATAATGGCTAAATTGTTTAATTTTCAAGTAGATTAGTCGATAGCTTAGGCTTGAATGACATAATTAAAGTGTTTCCTCTGCATGCCGCCCTACAAGCGGAAGTATTGCGACGCAAAGTCTGAATTCTGGAAATTCTATTTCAAAAAAACATTATCTCATTATTGTCATTATAATTATAATTTCCATCGGAAGAGGCGCTAGCGATACATGGATGAGTTAGCGAAACTCGAAAGAGCGAGCAAGAGAGCGACCGAACCGAGGGAGTGAAAGAGCGAGCGAGATATAGCTTTACGTAGATAGTACGTTCACAATTTTTATTTAATTCTTATGTGCTTATCTCAGCTGCATTGGCGAATACCTCAACGTTTCTACTAATGTTACTCTCATTTCATCGTTCAAACAGTCGTAATGTGTGCATTTTAACAAATTTGATTTTAATTAAATTTATTTAAGAAACAAAGAGATCGGACGAATAGCGGACGAAATTGTGTCTTAACGTAAAAGTGTACATTATAACAGTGAAAAGTGAACTGCAGTTACGTCATATTTTAACGTTCATAGTTTAACGTCTTCGGATTTTTTCTACATCTCTACAATCGAGATTTCCTATCACAATGAAGGATAAGGAGTATGATAAACCCGATACCAAAATTAAATTGTATCTCAGACAAGTATTAACAGCTTTGGGACCATTGATAGGAATGTCCGTGTCTGGTATGTCGTATGGCTACAGCGCGATTCTTCTTCCACAACTGAAGACAGTTTCGCTCAATAACAGCGAATCTTTATTTGAATCTGCGGACACGGATAATTTCGGAGTGCTCAGTATCGACCAAGAATCATGGATCGCGTCAGCTGCGGTTCTACCGATAATTCCGGGATGTTGGGTCGGTGGATTCATGGCAGAAAAACTCGGCAGAAAGACATCAGTGATGCTACTATTTCCTGTCTTTTTTATTAGCTGGCTGATCATCGGTTTCGCCAACAGCATCGCAGTTTTAATAGCGGGCAGACTTCTTTGTGGATCTAGCGCCGGAGTCCTGGCAGCCATACACACGATCTACGTGAGTGAAACATGCGACCCTCTGCTACGTGGCATTCTGATAGGGACGTTCGGCGTGACCCTTTCGGTCGGTATATTGGCATGTCACGTGATGGGAACTTGGCTGCATTGGCGAATCACCGCGTATATCTGCAGCATCTTGCCCGTAATCTGTTGGATTGTCTGTATCTACTCGCAAGAGAGTCCATTGTGGCTACTTGATAAAGGGAAAATTGAGGAGGCGAAACGATCTTGGATATATCTACGTGGAGTAGAATCGCTCGAGGAGTTTTCCCTGCTGAAAACTACCAGGCTCGCAGAAGTATCAAAAAGGAAAACCGGGAAACGATTGTTACTGCATTCGCTTAGAAAGACGTGGTCTTCGCGATATTTCCTGAGACCTTTCAGCATCGTCTGTCTGTACTTCTTTGTCTTGCAGTTTTCGGGTGCCAACGTGATGACATTCTATTGCATCGAGATGTTAGCGAACGTCTCTAATCCGGCGTACACGTATCTGATAACACTTATCATCGACGCGACTCGTCTGATATTCGCCGTTCTCACGAACATTCTTTTGAAAACAAGCCGCAGGCGCACCTTGACATTCATCTCTTATTTTGGTGCAGCTATCACCATGCTATCTTCAAGTGCGTGCTTGGCATTTGATTTTGGAAGACTCTGGAGTCCCGTGATTCTACTCGTCATTTACATAGGCCTGATATCACTGGGAATCTCCCTACCTTGGATACTCTGCGGTGAACTGTTCTCGAGAAAGTACCGTGGACTCGGTTCCGGAATAACATCTAGCTTCAACTTTACGTGTTTCTTCGTGGTGATCAAGATGGCACCATTTATGATGAAACATATAAAACCTGAAGGTACCTTTGCCGTTTATGGCTTTTTAACGTTGATCGGGTGCAGTATTTTATACTTTGTTCTTCCGGAAACTAAGGACAAAACCTTGCAGGAAATTCAGAAATATTTCAACAAGAAATCTCACACACTGAAAGCAGAAAATATAACTGTGCCACTTCAAGAATGTGTTTCTTCCGAAAAAAAAATTGAATTGTATAAGGAAATGTCGGTTGATAAATAACGATCACTTGATGAAGGTTATAGAATATAACATGTGTATTCACAAATATATGAACATACTACAATAATTCCTATTAATATATTCATATTAATATACGATAATGGTATTTATATACGATGTAGTTCGAATAGAGAGTAGATTTTATTTTAGTACGAAATTGTTTCTATGGTCATTTTCTAATAAGAAACTGTATTGTATTAGCATGATAAAGTTGACACATCTGCGTCACACATTACGTTTTCTTCTGAAAAATGTTTATAATTTGTAAATTGAGACGTTGAGATTACTGAACTATAGCTTGCAACGATGATGTTTTTGATGGTAATTCTATGCGCGAGACTGTATTTATACGCGACGTGTCGCAAGCTTTGCCTACTCGAAATTATCAAGTCTCAATAATGGCTAAATTGTTCAATTTTCAAGTAGATTAGTCGATAGTTTAGGCTTGAATTACATAATTAAAGAGTTTTCCTCTGCATGCAGCCATACAAGCGGAAGTTTTGCGATGCAAAGTCTGAATTCTGGAAATTCTATTTCAAAAAAACATTGTCTCAATATTGTTATTATAATTATATTTTCCATCGGAAGAGGCGCTAGCGATACATGGATGAGTTAGCGAAACTCGAAAGAGCGATCAAGAGAGCGACAGGATAAACGAGGAAGTGAAAGAGCGAGCGAGATATAGCTTTACGTAGATAGTACGTTCACAATTTTTATTTAATTCTTATGTGCTTATCTCAGCTGCATTGGCGAATAGCTCAACGTTTCTACTAATGTTACTCTCATTTCATCGTTCGAACAGTCGTAGTGTGTGCATTTCAACAAATTTGATTTTAATTAAATTTATTTAAAAAACAAAGAGGTCGGACGAATAGCGGACGAAATTGTGTCTTAACGTAAAAGTGTATATTATAACAGTGAAAAGTGAACTGCAGTTACGTCATATTTTAACGTTCATAGTTTAACGTCTTTGGATTTTTTCTACATCTTTACAATCGAGATTTCTATCACAATGAAGGATAAGGAGTATAA